GAGTGGGGATCTTGAGAAAATGAATTGTCTAAGACTTGTGTGGGAGAATGAGTGATTCTTGTGTGTGTGAGATTCTCTTCCTTGGGTTCCGAAGTTCACTTCCCTTAGCCCAGTGTTGGAAGACGGGGATTTTAGCAGAGCTAGAAACAGGGCCGGGTTCCAGGGTTTTTGTTCCGTGGTGGAGTTGAGTCTGGCAGAGCATCAGGCTAGATTCAGTCCATCAGTGCATTGTATGGAGTTCACATGGCCGCAGGCCACGTGGGTGAACACAGAGGAGGGCTCCCCACTGCAGTAGGGGTCCCAAGAGAGCAAGAGAGCCAAGAGGCAAGAGAAGGAACTTCCTTTGTTTAGGAGTTAAATTCCTCAGATTTTGAGCCCTTGCAGTAGCCACGCCTATTCTGGCCACTGACTTGTTCTCAGGTGTGACCGACAGGCCAGCATCTTCCCACATCACCCAGACTTTATTGGGCGTGTGTCTAACCTGCCTTTGCCCAGTCTCTCCCCCTACAATCTGCAGGGAATAGACCTGGAGAGTGTTAACTGCAGCTTCCTGGCAAAGCTACACAAAGGGCATGCCTGTACTATCTAGTCTTCCCTTTACTCCTTTCCTGTTAATAATAGCTAGGTTATTAATGGTATCAGTCCCACTTGTTTACTTTTGGGGGGGTGTTTGTTGCTTCTGAATAGGGGTCTCTGCAGGGGATTTGCAGATGTTACACGTGGAAGCCCACATGGGCCTTGGCCACCTCCTCAGAACAGTCTCCTCGTCTTCAAGTCCCAACTCTTCCCGTAGAGTCAAGCCCTGGCCCCCGTGTTCCAGAACCAGTCCCCTGGGGCCCTCGCCTGAGCTCCCGGTTTGGGTAAGGCCCCTCTCTCAGCTCAGGGTGGTTGCCCGCTGTGCTTATTAGACTTTAGAACACCTCAGCACCCCGCTTTGTTCTTTATGCTTTCAACACCCGCTGCCAGTTCCTTGCACGGAATCCCCTCGGTTTGAGATATGTAGCCGGGTTCTCTTTTCCTGACTGGATCAGCTGAAACACAAGAGAAGCAAAAATCAACAAGACAAAGGAGGCCGGGCCACGTGCTGTGAAGAACACAGACAGATAATGACAAAGTAGGAAATAAAAAGTAGTGCAGAGGCAGTAGGGGTGATTTTAGATGGGCAGGTCTCTCTGAGGAGGTGACATGTAAGCTGACAGATGAGGAGCTGGAGCTGGGGGGTGAGGTGACTACTCCTGGTGGGGTCAGGTTCTCTGAGGCCTGTGGACTGTGACAGCCCCTCAGGGAAGGTGCTAAGCCTGCCCCTGCGGGAATCGGGAATCCGGGAGGAGCAGGGAGATGTCTCCACCTGTGGCTCAGCCTCTGGGGGTTCAGGCTGGGAGCCTTTGAGCACATAGTTCTGATATCCAAGCTGAGAGTGTGGGGACCTGAGTTCTGGGTTTAGGGCTTGGAAACATGGCCCAGTCTCCTCCCCGGACGAGGGGAAATTCCACGGACTCAGGCTCCTAAGAAGTGCTGGTCTGGCCCAGCTGGCAGAGGGCAGTGTTTGCCTGGCACACTCCGGCCTGGCACTGACCTTTCTCTAATGGAATGCGGGCCCTCAGCTTCTGCAGGGAACGGGAGGGCTGGGCCACTTTCCATGCCCTCTCTAATCCTGGACTGGGTGGGGCAGGTGTAGGTGAGCTGGGCAGATGGTGTGGTCCTTCTCGTAACCACCGCACTGGGATAAGGGGAGGCTCTCCCAATCCGCACGTTTGCTGTTACTGCTATATTTAAGCACTTAGCCTGTGCCAGACACTGTGCTCAATTCTTACATTGTGCGTCATCTCTTTAAAGCTTCACAACAGATCTGTGAGGCAGGTCGTCCATCTCTTGGAGGTTGCCCAAGACCACACAGCTAGAAACAAGTGGGCTTGTTGCCCAGGGAACTGAGGCGAGCAGGGAGGGGACAGAAGGGATCTGCAGGAGCACTCATCTAAGACCTTTGTTTTACAGATGAAGAAACAGCTGCAAAGAGGGGACACAGAGAGCATGTGGCTGCTGACCCCAATAGAGGGGACTTGAGCTCAACAGAGGATGGTGAGCAGGATCCTGGCCAGAAGCCAGAAGCCCCTAGCCCCTTGAGGGCAAGGACCCCATTGCACCCTTTATTTCCTCCTCCCTCCCCTACTGTGCCTAGCACAGCTGCAGCACAGAGCAGGTGCTCAAGAAGTCCTTCGTGATGGGCGGAGCTTCCATCCCTCAGTAGCTGCAGTCACCTGCCACTCATTCCTTCATTTGTCTGTCCAGCATTTAGTAAGCACCAACTGTGTGCTGGCACCCTGCCAGACACTAGGTGCCCAGGTGAATGAGACGCAGTCCCGCACACAGTTGGTTACGTCCTGGTTGGGGCTTAGGGAGTATCACACATTACGGCATGTGCTCCCATAGTGTTCCTCATTCTCAACTCGGGCTTCCTCAGCTCATGTCTGGTGACTTGTACCTCTTCTCTGTCTGGGCTGGAGGCTGAGCAAATCTGCTCCCTGCTCCTCCCCCAGGCCGTTTCTACTCCCTTCTTTGCCAGTCCCAATACCCCTCTTTCCAAGCCACCTCCCTCCCCTCCTCCAGGAAGTCCTCTTGGACTAAAGTTCCCCAGCCGATCTGCAGCTCCCTGTGCTGAGTCTTGAGCTCTCTCTACCCAGGTGTCTCTGGTTCTCTCTGTCTCTATTTCTGTGGGTCTTCTCTTAGCTCCCCCTGCTTCACAGGGGTGGGCTATATAAGGCCCTCAAAATCGACACCAGCTAACATTACACGCCTCCCCACATTAGCCTGACCAAATATAGCAGGCTAATTTTTAAGTTGATAATTTTGTATGGCCCTCAAATGATGTGATAAATATCCAAATGGCCCTTGGCAGAAAAAAGGTTCCCCACCCCTGCATCTGGGGCTTCTCCAACACAGGGACCACTTTTCTTCTGTTTTTCCTCAGGCTGAAACAGACCAGCAGAAGGGACAGGCGGGGAGGTTGTGCAGTCACCTCCCAGCACAAAGGGCCTGCCTTTGGCTCTGGCACCAGACCCCTTATAGGAAGTTGTCTCTGGATCCACCAGGGCACTGACATGCCAGTCTTGGTCCAAGACCTCTGAGCCCTGATCTTCCATGCTGAGCTGGGGGACACAGGCTGGGCACCTGGTCAACCCCACCACCCTTTGTTTGAAGGTGGGGCCTTCATTCTCCCCTTTACCTACTTCTGGGTTTGGCCTATGGCAGGCAGTCCGCAGGTCAAAATATGGTTCCATGGAACCAAATGCTTCTTCTTACTTGCTGGGTGACCAAAGTTACAGTGCTTGGCGTCTCTGGGCCTCAGCTAATGATGCCTGTTCTGTCCATCTCACAGGTGGTTAGCAGGACCAGAGAGCAAGGAGAAGAAAAACCCAAACCCAGGCAGGGGCTTATTTTTATTGTTGTGCTCAGAGCAGGGGTAGCACCCTTGGCCAAGTATTCACGGACTCTCCTCGGAGGGCAGGAGTGGGAAGAAGAAAGAGGGAGCTTGCACTAGGAGCAGGGACCAGACTCAGATCCAGAGAACTGTCCGGGGTCTGCCAGCAGGGAGGGGCAGGAGAGTTTCCTTGTTTAGGTAGGAAAGTGGTGGTTTCCCTTCCTTCCTAATGTGTTTTTATTGATTTTAAAAGGGAGGGAGGGAGGGAGGGAGAGAGAGAGAGAGAGAGAGAGAGAGAGAGAGAGAGAGAGAGAGAAACATCAATTGGCTGTTTCCCATATATGCCCCACTGGGGATGAACCTGCGACCCAGGCATGTGCCATGACCGGAAATCCAATCTGCAGACTTTTGGTGTATGAGATGATGTCCCAACCAAATGAGCCACCCAGCCAGGGCAATGTGTTAGATGTTTTTGACTATGAGATTCAGATTCAGATTCAGAAATTTAATTTAGTATTTGCAAATTCACAATTCAGAAATTAGAATAGAAAACAAAAATAAAATAAGTAGAGAGCTGATCTTGGCTCAAGGATGGGAATGTGGTTTATCTGTCTGTCTCTCCTGAGTCTTGAGAGAACCAGCCTGAGGCTCATTTGCCTGTATTTGGTCTTCCAGCCAGTGAGTTGTCTCTAATCCATAATATCTGCTGTAGTAACAATAACAACATCACTGATAATCCTTTACATTTGTTGAGCTGTTCAGAGGGCCGAAAACAAGAGGTGTGTTACTCCTATAGGAATGAACATAACCAGTGTCAGGTCCTCAAATGCCCTATTAGGCACGTAGGAAAGTGTAGGCTCCATCTGACGGGTGAAGAAATCGAGGCTCATATGTCTGAGGTCTCAGTGCTTCAAAGTCCCTGCTTTGCCCCCAGATTCCTGTCTTTGAGACACCCATTCTTCCTTTAGTCTGTGTAGTTCCTTCACACTCACTCAAAGCCCCACTTCCCCCAAGAAGCCTGCTCTGATCCCGGGGTCCCTGCACAAGCCCCTGTCTTCTCGGACCGTCTTCACTTGGCTAGGAAGTCCAGAATGGCTATCTCAAGCTGACTGTGAGCTTCCTGAGGTGGAAGGGTGGGGAACAATCGTAGGTATCCTAGCGCAGGGTTGGGCTTGGAGAAGGTCCTCAATCCTTGTTTGTTGATCTAGAATTTGATTTGGCAAGGTTAGGCCTGTACCCATCAGAATATATTCTGGGCTGTGCCAACCCCCACAGTTGTGCTGGAGAGGGAACCCGCCACCACTGGGGGAGTTCCTTGTTTCTGTGCCAAGGCAGCCACATGGTGCCTGGACATGTCGGGAGGCACTGGGAATGTAGGTCAACAATGGTAATGTCTCCTTGTAGGATGGTGGGGTAGGGGACCTGTCATGTCCAAGTGGCATTGGTCTGAAGGTGTAACTAGGTCCCTGGCCAACTTTCCTCATAATTGGAGAATCCCTAAAGTCCTGTGGTCAACCTGTTTGACCAGAGACTGACCAACCCCAAGAGGGGAGATAAAAACAGACACATAGCTTCAGCCATGAACAAATCGTAGTACTTTATTCGTCCCTTGGCAGGGAGAAGGGGGCTTTGCCCCAAGGTAGTCAGCCAGTCGAGTGGGGTGGCTAGGATATGTGTTATCTATTCAAATAGTACATAGCACTGATTATGCAGAAACAGGAAGGGAAGCAATAAGTTAAAAGCCACATAACTTATGAAAATAATATATATATTTTATATATCTTGTATCCCCACTGAGGATTTGCTCCCTTGGAAACCAATAAATAGGCCGAGAAAAAGCAGTAATCAGCACCCTTTGGGACTTCAGTGATGAGTATGTCTGAGTTCCCTCTAGCCTGAGAGTCAGTAGCCCTTCAGCACCCCCCATAGGCCTGGAGGACCTTGAGCTCTAGGAGGAGCCAAAGCCTCCTGGAAAAGAAGATGAATGAGTCAAAGACTGAGGCTAGAAGAGGAAGGGCCAGGGGCAGGTAGCAAGAAGAGGGGGAGAGAGAGGAGGTGGCCTGTGGAGTAGGAGGCTAGGGCTGCCAAGATCCCCCTGCAATCTACAAAGGTAAGAACCAAGAGGAAGAAAGAGGAGCGCTCCTTCCAGCCCCAAATCTTGTTGGATGCAGAATTTCTGTCTGGTTGTCACTGGGGCTCCCCAGCCTGGCCTCAAGAGCTCAGAAGCTCCCAGACCTTCCGGGACTGTGCCTTCGTCATGGCCACGCCGGAGTCAGGGGAACGGAGGGAGAAGGGCCGAGGGGGAAGAAAAGGAGGAGCTGTAACCCCACAGGTATGGGGTGTTCCTGGGCTCCTCGATGAATGCAGAGGAGGGCAGGGCCAGGCTGTCTGGCCTGATGGGAGAACAGATACCCTGAGAAGGGATTCATGGGAAATGGGCCTAGGGTTTCATGCCAGGAGGGGGTGGGGCTAGGAGCCTGGTACACCAAAGTTCGGTTTCAGGCTGGGAATCACTTGGGCAGAGGTGGGTGGTGGTGGTGAGGGGTGCAGAGAGCTGAGGTTCCAGGCAGGGTGGTGAACCCCAGGATGGCAGGGAGGGGAAGGGATTCGCTACCTGGTCTCAAACTGCCATCCAACCTTCCCACAGGGAGTTGATTATGGCAAGAATGGCTTCTGGAGATGGTGCTGGGAGCTGCTTGGGCAGCCTGTCCATTTCTGACTGTGACCTGCTGGGAGGACCCCACGGGAGGGGAGAAGGGGCACAGATGTCTGGGAGGATCTCAGAGGTGCAGGCTCAGGTCCCAAATGCCCAGGGAGCCTCCTTCTCTCACCCCCTAATACTGTTAGGCCTCTGGGGAGCCCAGGTAGTGCAGGAAAGCCAGGGGCACCCAGCCCCCAGCATGCCCCTCCCCAACCCCCCGCCAGGAACTCAAGATGCGGGCTGAGGGTGGGGGAGGCTAAGCAGTCCTCATCCATCGCTGGTCCGTGGCTGGGACTGGGCGAATGAGGGCACCAGCCTTGGTGCGGAGGTTGAGGCAAGGCTTGAGATGTAGTTTAGGGCAAGGGTTGGGCAAAGGGTCAAAGGGACCTTGGTCAGTGCCTTCTGTTGGGGAGGAGTCTCCGAGGAGTGAGGAGCTGGAGATAAAACTGACCCCAATTCCAGTTTATCCAGGCAGGAAACCTCTGACCAGAAGGTTGGAAAGCTGGGACTGTGACATACTGATGTGGAGTAGAGTGACTTTGAAAAGCTGGTGACAGTCCTGTTCCACCCCTGGTACCCACAGGAAAACACTTATTGTTTTGAGCTCCTCTCAGTTCAGAATCAGGTTTGCCTCCCCTCCCAACCTAGAGGCTCCAAGCTGCTTCCTTGAGTCTAGTTTAAGTCTCTCCTGCTGCAGGGGAGAGACCTGGGGCTCCTGGGGTCCAGCTGCCTTATTCTGAGGCCTCTGACTCCTGCAAGAGGAACTTCTCTGACATTTCAGTGATTTTGATCACGGGGCCTCTGCTGTTCTTCTTCTTCCGAGAGGGGCCTCTTGCAAGGTGGGACTTGGAGGCAGCTACAGGGAACATAAAGGGTGGGGGAGGGAAGGGGCTGGAGGTTTGGGAGCCACTTAAAATGATGCTTTTAGGGTCAAGACCCCCAGACCCTGCTCCCCTCCCCCCCCATGGGGCAAGGACTCACCAGTTCTGGATCTGGATTGCACAGTGCTGACCACGGCGGCCGAAGCCAAGTCCATCCTGGGAAAGGAGGGAAATGGGATGAGAAAGAAGCCTGTGGCTTATGTTCTCCGGGGATTGGGGCCTGGGGACTGACAGGTAGGGAGAAATTCTTGGTTGTTATTTCCAGCCCTGGGCTGCCCTGCTGTGGGACCCTGGTTGGCCAGCTTGTCCTCTCTGGGCCTCTGTCCCCTCTCCCTTGAATAAATGGCTAACATTTACTGAGCACTTATTTGTGACAGGCATTTGGATGCAGGATCATATGAACCCTCCTCCTCACCACAGGTGGAGCATGTTTATGATCAGCCCATTTCCCAGATGGGAAAACTGAGACTTTAAGGAGCTGGGCCAACATCTCAATTTGTAAGTGGCTGAGCCAGGACATAAACTCAGGACTGCCATGCTCACAGTATCCTGCTGGAGGGAGAAGCTGGCTTTGTATGGGGCTGGTCCTTCCGTTCTCCCTCTCCCCTAGCCCCACCCCACTGTCCCCACCTCTCACCTGCTCTCCTCGCCCTCCACCAGCTTTCGGTAGGTGGCGATCTCGATGTCCAGGGCCAGCTTAGTGTTCATGAGCTCCTGGTACTCTCGTAGCTGCCTCGCCATGTCCTTCTTGGCCTGCTGCAGGGCCTCCTCCAGCTGGGCCAGCTTGGCCTTGGCATCCTGGAAGGCCAGCTCACCCTGCTCCTCGGCCTCCTTGATGTTCTCCTCCAGTTTCAGGCACTGCAGCCAGGAGGACAGAGGGAAGGGGCCAGTGAGCAGGGTGGGAGGGAGGGAGATAGTGGGCCAGGGCCAGGAGCCTACTCTGCTCTTGATGCGGTGAACAGGGAGGGGCTGGGGGAGGGCGGGCTAAGCAATCCATTCCTGGGTGTGGTAATGGGTTGCACTGCAGTGAGAGGGAGTTCAGAGAGACCCGAGAAGACAGTTTCCGAGGCCCCTAAGCAGGGAATAGCAGGCCCCCAGAGGAGCCTGTCTTAGCTCTTCTCACAGGGCAGCACTTGCTCTGAAGGCTCATCCTGGCTGGGAGCTGGGGCTGAGGACTCCACTCCCTTCTCTCTGTATAGCTGGCAGGAGGTGGTGGGCTCTGGGTGTGTGTGGTGGGGGGCTCTCTAACATCCCCAGAGCTCTGGCCAGTTTGCAGAGCACTGTCACAGGCCAAGCTCATGTGATTTTCACAGCCATCTCAGGAGAACAGGGAAGGAAATTGAGGCACAGAGGTGCTCAGTGACCTGCCCAGCTCACTTAGGTCATGTCCTCTTACATGTACTCAGCTTGTGTGAGTGTGTGTGTGTGTGTGAGAGAGAGAGAGAGGGAGGAGGGGGACGACGACGTGTGTCTCGGTGTTCCTTCCTGTTCAACCCCCAGGCGGGTCTCCCGAACTCACGTGGCTCTTGATGGAGAGGATCTGGGATCGGAGCTTCTGGATGCGCACATTGAGGTCGGCAATCTCACTGCGGCTCATCTGGAGGCTGTTCCCATACTCAGCCGAGCAGGCAGCCCGCTCCTCCAGCTGGAGGGCGCAGCGGAGGTGGTGGTCAGGGGCTGCTCCCTGTCCCTCCCAGACCCTCGGTTCCTCACATCTTGCTGCTCCTTTCCTCTCACCCTCAGCCCCTCCACTGCAGCCGCCACTGCAGGCCAGACTGCCCTCCTACCCCTCTCCTGCCCCACCACGTCCTCCTACTGGCTGCCCTAGACTGAGCCCACAAGCTGTGCCCACTCCTGGCCTAGCATTGCTGGTGGCAGAACCACCCTGGGTCTCTGAAGGTATAGACTGTGGGCTTTCCTGACTCACAAAACCCCTTGGGGCCCAGCACAATGCTGGGCTCTACCTCTCCATGTTGGGCTCTAACCCTCCACGCTGGGCTCTACCTCTCCGCGCCGGGCTATACCTCTCCTCGCCGGGCTCTACCTCTCCTCGCCGGGCTCTACCTCTCTGCGCTGGGCTATACCTCTCCTCGCCGGGCTCTACCTCTCCGCGCCGGGCTATACCTCTCCGCGCCGGGCTCTACCTCTCCGCGCTCGGCTCTACCTCTCCGCGCTGGGCTCTACCTCTCCGCGCTGGGCTCTACCTCTCCGCACCGGGCTCTACCTCTCCGCGCTCGGCTCTACCTCTCCGCGCTGGGCTCTACCTCTCCGCGCTGGGCTCTGCCTCTCCTCTCAGGGCTCTACCTCTCCTCGCAGGGCTCTACCTCTCCTCGCCGGGCTCTACCTCTCCGCGCTCGGCTCTACCTCTCCGCGCCGGGCTCTACCTCTCTACGCCGGGCTCTACCTCTCCACGCCGGGCTCTAACCCTCCGCGCTGGGCTCTACCTCTCCGCGCCGGGCTCTACCTCTCTACGCCGGGCTCTACCCCTCCACGCCGGGCTCTAACCCTCCGCGCTGGGCTCTAGCTCTCCGCGCTGGGCTCTAACCCTCCACGCTGGGCTCTACCTCTCCATGCCTGTCTGTGAACCAACTGCTGTGGTCTCCTGCACCTGTGCTTCCTATTCCCCTTTCCCGAGTCTCTGCACACACCTGAGGTGACCTCAGCCACACTAGTGCGTCACCAGGCTGCCTCTCCCCACCTGCACCTGCACGCTCAGCCACGTACCTGCCTCCGGGAGTACACCTCAGCCTCCTCCAGGCTGCGAGCGGCGATGGCATCATACTGGGCCTTCACCTCCTCCACAATGCCGCTCAGGTCGATGTGGCATTTTCTGTCCATGTCCACGGTCACTGACACGTCCTTCACTTGTGCTGCCAGGTCTTTTAACTCCTGGTCGGGCATAGATGTGGGGGTTCAGGGCTGCTGTGGGGCACCATAGTCCCTCTATCCCCAAGGTAAGTGGAGGGTGGGCTAGATGGGGGGCTCCTTGAGGGTCTGGCAGAGCCATTTCATCTCCAGGGCCCCCCATCTGGCAAGGAAGCGTCTCAGTTAGTTGAATAAATGTTGGGGTGGAAGCTCATGAATGAGAAGGGGCAGGAGCAGGGCTAGAGGCTGATAAGCCTACACTCCCCACCCCTGCCAGAGGCTGAGGCCAGGTGACGTCGGGGTCACCCTGAAACTTGCTGCCTCTCCCCATCCAGCTAAGGGGCTTGTCCAGCAACAGCCTCAATATTTTCCTCTTGTCCTTGTCCTTCAGGATCCTTCCTTGTCCCTCCTCTCTGTCCTCTGCTCAGGAAATGCCAGGCTGCATCCTCCGAGCCCCGAAGTGGAGGCCCTCCCACTGGCCAGGCGTGTGCAGGCCCGGCTGTGCCCAGTGCTCTCGGGCGGCCTCACCTTTCACCCTCTCGGGCTTGCACGGGTATTGCCCCCGGATCACGGACAGGACGGAAATGCGGCTCAGAGAGGTTACGGAAACACTGCGAACGCAGAGCCCTTTGCTGCTCTTGTGAAGCTCCCTTCGGGGGCAGCAGCTGAGCCTCTGTGCTTCTAGCCCCAGCCTGGCTCTTTCTGGCACACCTGACAGCCCGTGGCCTGAATGCTCAGGGGTGTGTCGAGAGGCAGGTGGGGACAGAGGTCTTCCTAAGGGCTGCAAGGTGTCACCACCTTGGCCCTGGGCTGCTTTCCCTGGATGTGCTAAGGAGCTGCCAGCACCTGGTCAGAGGAGGAGGCCAGCATCGCACAGAGAGAGTCAGGGGGCCGAGGCCTCCTAGAGGCAGGGAGGGGGCAGGCACCCCGGGAGGTGGGGGGAAGCTCTCCTGGAGGAGGGAGGGTGCCGGGTGCAGATGTACAGTTACTGCTACTGGCATTCACAGTCCATCCTTGACCCCTACTTCAGTCATCAAATTTTGGTCAGGGATCTCTCTTTTCTGACACATACCTGTATATATTTTAACTTGTTTGAATCAGGATCCAAACAAAGTGCACGCGCCACGATCGGTCCACGTGTTTCTAAGTCTCTCCGGCTCTACACACAGATAGCCCCGCCATCTCTCTCTGTCATTTTCCTTGCTGGAGTTTACAATAGGAAACGCTGGTTGCTGGCCTTGTAGCCCCGCGTCTGCCTTCCACTGGCTGCTCTGTGTGCTGCTGTCTCGCAGGCTCCTCTGCCCCTGCCTTTCTGAAAACTGGCAGTTGGATCTGGAGGCCTGCTCGGATCCAGGCTTAGCTTTGGCCTCATGACCAAATTCTGACCCTGTTTCCTGACTTGGGCCCCCTCCTGACCCTTCCTCTGTCTTCATGGTCAGAGAGGTTGTGGTTGAGCCTCTGGACTCTGTACCTGCTGAGGTGGGTACTCCTGACCTGCAGCGTGCACCCCGGAGCTGTAGACTGCAGGGCCTTGGGGTTCAGCTAGCGCCACATGAGCAGCTGAGCAAGCCAGCTGAGGAAGGCCACCGGTCCACTGGCTGCTCACTGCCCAACCCACCCACTAGCATCCCTGCTGACAAGGATCAGCTCCTGGAGAAGGAAGCTTGGGCAGTGGCAGGCATCCTGCAGCCTCTCTGGGGGCCTCCTGTTTCTACCTTGAAGTTGGCAGGACCCTGAGCCTAGTGGTCAGCTGCCCCTTGGGGTCTTCTGATGGGATTTAGTTGATCTTCCAGTGAACAGAGATCATTGGGCAAAAGCAAGGGAGGGCCCGGCCCAGGACAGAACAAGGTTATGCCGCCCCTGACTGACATTTCCCACACGGAACCAACATCTGCCAGGGCTGCTGGATTGGGGGTGGTTTCAGAGATGCAGCTTTGGGGTTCCTCGGCCCCTATTTGTGGGGGGACAGTGGGCACGCAGAGTTCTAGATAAAACCTTCTATTAGCACTTCTGGCTCAGGCTGAAGTTGACCTTCGTTTCGGTTCAGGAGCAGGCCAGGGCACCGTCAGAATACCCCGTAGGAGGGCTTCCCCCAGGATGAAAGGATTGGCAAAACACAGATGCTAGAGCAGCCTCAGCTCCTTCCTGGACAGAGGCAGGGTATGCAGGAGCTTGGTAAACAGAAGCAGGAAATGGAGCGCTTAGAACATCTGCAGACCTGTTCGGACACGCCAGCCCCATGGGGTGCAAAGGGTAGAACAATGCTGCCTGTATGGTGTGGAGGCGCCGCTATGGAATGGGCCCCCAGGAGGGATGTGCACCTCCAAGCTGGGAAGAATTAAGCTGAAGTACAGTTTAGAGCTTCTCTAGGGAGCCCGAGCCCGAGGAGGGTGGTCACCCACGTGGCTGAGGAGGCTGCTACATGGGTAGACGGTGACTCTGAAGGGTCACTTAGTGCTGCACAGTAAAATGTAGCAATGGCAGTAGGCTCTGAATACCACCACCACGTATAAGCTGGGTAACCCTGGGCAAGTTTTTAAACCTCTCTGAGCCTTGGTTTTTCCATCTGTAAAATGGGCATAATTATAGAACTGAAAATAGCTAATGTTTACAAATACTTCTCATGTGCCAGACATTGTTCTAAGGGCTTTGGGATATAGTAACAAAATGAATCTTCACAACAGGCCAGTGAGCTAAGTGCTATTATTCTCCCTATTTTACAGATGGGGAGACTGAGGCATGGAGAGAGAAAAGAACCTGCTTAAGTTCATGTAATTACTGAGCCAGGATTCAAATCCAAGCTGCTCTAACAACCAGGGTCCCTTAATCATTATCCCTACCTCATAGAGTTGTGAGGATTAAATGAGATTATATGTGGAAAGCACTTACAGGTGCTGGGGTACAGAAGGCCCTCAATAAACAGTAGCTAGGGCTACTTCCCTAAGCTGTGAAGGTGATGGTGCCAGGGGTAATGTCCAGGGCAGAGCAGCCTGCTCCTGGAGCAGACTCTCTGCGGTGCCCCGGGGGCAGGCACCAAGCAGCCTGGACTCAGCAGGCTCTCTTTGCAGCACTCTGCATCCTAGGAGGTGTGCCTGGCTGCAGGGGTGGTCCTCGGATTCAGCTAATCTCCCTGGCACCAGAATTCATGGGTGGGGCCGTGGTGTTCAGATCTGCAATGCACTTTGGAAGCTGAGGGGACATGTGAGCCTCCGTCAGCCTGTGTTGCTGGAGGCGAGGGGCAGGGGGATTGCCCAGGAGGCTGCAGTGTGTAGATGAGGCCCCGAGCAGTCTGTGGCCTTTGGCTCCTGGGAAAGGCTTTCAGGCCTTATCCCTGCGTGTGTGTGTGTGTGTGTGTGTGTGTGTGTGTGCGAGTGTGTGTTGGGGAGACGAGAGGGCTGTGTCCTGGGACACATGAGTAGTTCGTGCTTTGCTGACTTGCTGTCTGCTCCAATGGTAAAACCAGTATGTCCAGCCCTCCTGGGGCTACTCACATCTGCCGTGTGTTTCTTCTACCTGAGGTGGCCATGGCTGCACCTTCCTTTGCTTAGACCTGCCTGTCTGATGTGGTGGCCACTACCCATGTGTAGTCGTGAGCCTTGAAATGTGGCTAGTCAGAACCAAGATGAGCTATAAGTGTAAAATACACATAGGATTCTGAAGACTTAGTATGAGAAAGAATATATAAAATAGCCCATTAATATTTTAATATTGATCGCATGTTGAATAATCATATTTTGGATACATTAAGTTAAATGTATTATTAAAATTAATTTTTCCAGTTTTTTTTATTAAAATAGTGTGGCTACTAGAAAACTTAACATGATAATATTATGAAATTAAGTAATATGTATAAGATGACTTAAGCCCGGTGGGTGTGGCTAACTGGTTGAGCGTCGACCCACACACCAAGAGGTCCCTGCTTTGATTCTCGGTCAGGGCACATGCCCAGGTTGTGGGCCTGATCCCCAGTGGGGGAATGTAGAGGCAGCCACTGATGTTCTCTCTCATTGATGTCTCTATCTCTCTCTCCTTTTCTCTCTCTCTGAAATAAAGAAAAAAATATTTAAAAAAATACATGCTATATGTGGCTCACATTAGATTTCTAATAGTGCTGGCGTGGAGACTCACGGTGTGGGGAATCTTTTTAGCAGAGTCAGTTTTGCCTCAGCCGGCGGTGGTGCAGGGACAGAAACGCAGACGTCTTGTCCCGGCACCAGCTTGCACCTTGCTGTCTCCTGAAGTCTCGGTGACTGCTGGCTGCAGCCCCTCTCCAGAGCACTGTACACCCCTCCAGAGCCCAAGCACGCCCCTCTCCCCTCCGCAGCACCCTCCCCAGGGCCACCGGCACACTTAGAATAAGGCCCAGAGCCCGGCTCAGGGTCAAGGCCCGCCGTGGTCTGGCCCCTGTCGCTCTGCCCCAGCCCCAGCTGCTGCTTCCTTCCCGTCATCAGCAAACTCACTCCTGCCTGAGGCTCCTTCGCAGCTCTTCCTGCTGCTTGCGCCTCCTCAAACCTACACTGAGCTGAGCTCCCCGGAGTGGGCCTTCACCTGCACCGCCTCTGAGACACCCTTGGCCTCGAGAGCTCTACTTTCCCTCCCTCTAGCATGACGGCATCCCCGGTTTTTTGCAGCCCAACATGTCTCACCTCCAATCTGATCCTCAGATGCTAGTTTCGGCGCGATTGCCCGTCCCTCTTAGCTGAGCTGTGCCCCGAGAGCAGGGACGCTGGCGTCCCACCCAGCCGCTGTGCTGGGCACCTGGCAGGCATGCAGTGAGCCCTGCTAGGTAGCTGGATGAATGGATTTAGTCCTCATCACAGCCCCGTGAGCCTGGTACTGTAACTTTCTCCATTTTTATAGATGAGAAAACTGAGGCACAGAATGGACAAATAACTTGTTCAAAGTCAAAGAAATGGTAAAAAAGGCAGAGTCCGAGTTGGGGTCCAAGGGCTACAGAGTCTAAGTGGAGCAGGAGCCAGGATGCTCTGGGGCTGTGACTGAGGCCTGGCGTCCGAGGTATAGTCCACACCGGGGGACCTCTGAACTGGCTTCGCTTGGGCTCTGGGCAGAGCAGAGCGGAGGGCGGATCTGAAAACACTGATCTCGCTAACGTCTGCCTAGGCTGTACCCCTAACCCCATTCTCCAGTCAATCAGTGGCACCCCTGGTCACTCATACAGGGCTTGGCCTGGCTGTGGAGGATTCTGCCAGGGACATGAAGCTCTTCAGGGGGCTGATGTGGGTGGTTGGCCTGGGAGGCCTCCTCCCCCCTGTTCCCAAGGGCTGTGGTGTTCTCTGCTCTGCACCTCCCATGGCCACAAACAGGCCTGAGGCTTATGGAAGCAATGCAGGGGCTGAGCCTGCTGGAGGGACGTTCGGCCCATGTCAGCCGTACGCCCAATCTCCCTCTCCACAGGATGAGGCCATGAAGTTGGGGCCAGCAGCCCCTAGGGCATCTTAGCTTTTTTTTAATTTATTTTTTATCACATTGGTGACTTCGATCCCTGCCCTGCCCTTGGCTGTGTGGCCATAGCTTGGCACCAGTTGCTGGCAGTACTTAGGCTGCCAAGTCCTGTCATCCCAACAATGGTGCTGCCTGCTCATAGCTGAATTGAAGCATCGCCCCTCTAACTCCTCGCCCCTGAAACAGCAGGTGTGGAGAAGAGAACGCATATCCCGGAGGACGTGCAGGGGCAGAGTGGAGTGGAGGGCGGCATCCAGAGCTGGCAGCGGGCCCACCTGCTGGCGGCCCTGCAGTGTGCTAGGCCTGCTGGGCCAGCGTTCCCCAGGCTCAGCTGAGGATGGAGGGACACACGTCAGTGTGTCTGGAGGCTCCTCTGTCTGCATTCACTGGGTCGTTTTTGTTTGGTAGAAGCTAGTATGGTCTGGGAACCAGAGAATCTGACTACAGGTCTGCCCTGCCTTGGTTTAAAACAGGGCAGGGTGAAATGGGTGACTGTCAGAGCTGGGACTGTGGCACCTGCAACTTAGTCTGTGGGAATAGATTGTTCAGTCAGATGGGTGCTCAGGTCCCTGGTCCCCTGCTCTGAGGCCCCCTCCAGACCCATGTCCAGATGCATCTGGTCCCCTGTGCCCTCAGCAATCAGCACAACAGAGGCACGGTTCTCCCCGAGAGGCCTTTGGCCAGCCATCCTGCCCACGCTCCATGGAATAAGCGACGAGGGACAAGCTGGATCACTGACAGCAGTGCAAGAGGGGTTTAGGAATTCGTTACAATTGTGGCCAGAAACCGTGGGTGATTGTGAAGGTTCCACGTCCCACTGGACGTCTTCCCTGCCCTGCGCCCCTCCGCCACGGACCAGCCAGCTCGTGGCCCTGTGTGCTCACCTGCTCGTAGACAGTTCTCATCAGCTCCACGAAGCTCTGCAGGCTTTTCAACTTGGTTTCCAGTTCGGTCCGTCGAAGACACTCTGTGTCCAGGTCCTGGGTGGGAGCAGGGGTGAGTGATGGGAGAGGGAGCTGAGGGGTCCCAGGGCAGGGTTGGGCGGGGAGCTTAGCTTCCCGGGTGAGATGGGGTGGTTCCCAGAGGAGACCTGGCTCAGAGCCTGGAAGGAGGAGCAGGGGGGACGGGTATCTATCTGTGGTTCTGAGACTCAAGCCTCTGAGGGGTTCGTTTGGGGATTCTGAGGGCAGCAGGCAGAGGGTCCACGAGGAAGGAGCCCCTGGGGCAGGCTGGGAAAGCTACCTTCTTCAGCTGGACGAAGGTAAACTCCATGTCTGTGCGCTTGGAGATCTCATCTTCATACCTGGGAGGTGAGGAGGGTGGGAGAGACAGAGGGACAGAGAGACAGAGAGACAGACAGAGAGATAGAGACAGAAAGAGATAGAGGCAGAGACAGAGAGACAGACAAAGACAGAGATACAGAGACAGAGAGACAAAGAGAGATAGGGAGACAGAGAGAGAGACAGAGGGAGATAGAGGCAGAGAGACAGAGACAGAGAGAGATAGAGACAGAGAGACAAAGACAGAGATAGAGAGACAGAGAGATATAGAGACAGAGAGACAGACAGACAGAAACAGAGAGACAGACAGAGAGACAAAGAGAGATAGGGAGACAGAGAGAGACAGAGGGAGATAGAGGCAGAGAGACAGAGACAGAGAGAGATAGAGACAGAGACAGAGAGACAAAGACAGAGATAGAGAGACAGAGAGATATAGAGACAGAGAAACAGACAGACAGAAACAGAGAGACAGACAGACAGAGAGACAAAGAGAGATAGGGAGACAGACAGAGAGACAGAGAGAGAGACAGAGGCTGCTCAGCTGGATGAGGTGGCAGCTTGCGGTTGCGTTAACCCTCCCAGGGCTGGGCGTAGGGCTTCTGCTGTCTCATCTGGTGCCTCGTGACAATTAGAAAGGAACAGTCCTTTCTTTAGGTGCATGGGCCCCTCCTCTTCTAGGACACATCCCCGTTCCCCGGTGACACCTTAGTGTTGGCTCTGGAGAAGCAGGTAAACCCCTTCTCTTTCCTGACGACCAGTCAGTCCTCTCCTGGTGTCTGTCCCTTGCTGGCTCTGCTCCACATTCACCTCCCCCAGGAAGTCTCTTCTGATTGTGTAGCCTTTTCCCCTGGACACTTTGCTCCCTCGTCTTTTCCCTAGCTCCTCCCCTGGGAGTCTCAGTTTCAAACAAGCTTTGCCTTTGGTCAGGTCTGCACTGAGCAGCATCCTGCTCACCCTTCTCCCTCCCCCACCTCTGCCCCCTCGCAGCCCTACCCCTCCCCTCTGCTAGATGGTAGGACACCATTTTATCGTGTTTCCTCCAGAGGGTGGACAGGAAGAATGTGGACTTTACAGTCAGACAACCCCCAGTGTGGTTTCGGGTAATTTCACCCCTCCTTCCTTGAACTCTTGGTCTGTCAGGGCTGTGCCCGTGTGCCTGTGCGTGTGTGTGTGTGCAGGGCTGACCTTGTCCACCCCTGATGCAATGACAGACAAGCACACTCAGTACTCAACTAAGGTGGCCCCTCTCTGCTCAGATTTGCCACCTCCTTTGCTCAAGTCCACCTTGTGTTTGGAACAAAGACACTGTTAGGTGGGAGATGGGATCCCTGGGCCAATCTTACCCCGTTCCCCTAGTCAAGACGTCTGTCTTGGCTCCTCGGGTGGGTGTCTGCCAGCCACCTCCTACCCCCTCAGCGGATGTGAGGTTCTGTGGCTTCCTGTTGTCTTCCCTCCTCTCCAGGGAATACCTGAATCACTGGCTGCTCTAATTACAGCCGCCCGCCTGCCCCAGTCCCTGACCTCACAGCAGGGCAGCGTCACACATCACCCACATCCGCTGGCCGGACCTGCCGCCCCTAAGGCCTTCTTTTCCACCTGCCTCCCTGAGGCGCTGAGGGCAGCAGACCCAGGGGGCGAGAGCCTGCCGGGCACTTGGTCTCTGGAGCTGTGTGCTGTGTGCACGTTCCTGCCCGCCGCCTTGACTTCCAACAGTCTTCGAGGGCGCGGAGGGTGCAGGTCATGGTGGCAGAGGAGGGGTGGGCTCGGGAGACTGTGCTGCGGTCCAGGACTCGCCAGGGTGAGCAAAAGGCCCAAGAGGGTTTACCTGCACCCTCTCCTGTGACCCTCAGAGCCCCTAGCCAGGGAGGCCCCTCTGCAGGTCCCATTTCACAGACGAGGAAATGGAGGCCCAGAGAAGGGCCTGGAGGCTCGTGTGTGTGCTGGTTAAGCAAGGGCCCCAGAGCCAGGCAGGCTGGGCTTGTCTTGCTTCCTTGCTCACTGGCGGTGCGACCTTGGATAAGCTACTTGTGTGTGCCTAACTCATGAGAACAGTGACGTTGTGAGGATGAAGTAAGTAAATACACGAAGTGCTCACAGCAGTGTGTGGCACCCACTAAACCAACTTCTATTATCACCTAAGCTCCCTTCTCTCCAACAGCAGCCCCGGGCCCTCAGCCCTCTGCCTTGGCCTCCTGCATTTCCGAAGAGAAACGGGGAGACCTCACTGCAGAGAGAGCACAGATACTCCCTGTACGTCCTTCGCACAGCCCCTGGGCTGGGCTGACTGGAACAGGCTTCCCTCTGCAATCCGAGGAGCCCCGACCTGAGAAGACCCTTATTGACTGGTCCTCCCCACATAAGCCCGGTGGGCAAACCTCTCCCCTGCTCTCCTCCCCTCTGGATAGAGTCCTGCCCACCTGGGGGCAGGACGCTGGGGAGAGCAGTCCGGTCGGCCCTTTGAGGTGCCAAGCTCCTCCTACCCCTTACTGCCTTTCCTATCATTCTGTGCAGCCCCCCCTCCTCCCTTCTTGCTGGGTTTCAGCCCCAGGTCACCCCTCACCAGATGCTGTCAAGCAGTGAACAGCTCGCACGAATGCTCGCCGTGTGCTGGGGTCACATGCCGTGGCCTTCGGCAAACTGTTCCCCCAGCTGGGCTTCTGCTTCTTAGCTAGCTGGTCCTTGGGGTCCCAGCTACATCAAAGATTTGGGAAGTCTCCATCCCTACAGACTTGCTTATGTATGCCATATCCTTCATTTCACCCCCATCTTCTGCCAGCCACCAGCTCCCAAACCCATTCTCAGCCCTTCTCAGCTCGTCACACCCACACCCCCCTCTCTACCCAACTTGTTTATATCTAGGAGTGAAGCTGATCTCATCAGCCTGGTGGAGGCAGGGCACACCCCTCCCCGGCAGGGCTTGGCCTGGCGTCTCCTGGCTCCTGGGGGCCCCCGGCTTGCGCAGCCAGGCTGCAGCTTCCCGGGCTCTGGCCTGCAGACCCAGAAGCTCTCTGGCCTGGCTCTCCCAACTCAGGTGGGTTCCCCACCCAGAGAGAGGCAGAGAAGCCCTGAGCCTGAACAGTAACATCAGGCGGCAGACGGAAACCAGGCAGCAGGCCAAATGTGGGGGCTGAGCCAGATTAGAACAAGTAGTGTTTGTACAGAACTTCCAGTTACAAAGTATCTCCACAGATGTGATCTGGCTGGGCTCATGGGAGCAGCCTCTCACCCTGGATGACATAGGGTAGGGATGGGTTTTAGCACGCATGGCTATGTGACTGAGGACAAGCCCCTGCTCTCTCGGGGCCTGTGTTTCCTTCCCCATCTAAGTATACTCCAAGGCCTCCCACCAGCTCTGCCATTCTCTGATCTGCTGAGGGCCAAAGACCTACCAGATGTCAGCTAACGTCCCAGATTCTGGTGCGCTAGCACAATTCCCCTCATTACGGTCAGAATGGGCAATCATCCCTAGGACCTGGGAGGAGGGCTCAGGCAGAGGTGGCCCCAGGCCAGGGAGAGGCCCAGCCATAAGGACCAGTCAAGGCCAGGGCTGGGATCATGCCTGTTGGTTGGAAAGTTCCAGGCAGATCCACAGATGAGGAAACTGAGGCCCCAGAGTGAGGAGCGTCCCGTGTGACCATCCTTCTGAATGTGGCCTGGACAGAGGAGGTTATGCAGAGAGGCGAGGGGCAAGCTAAGCCCCAGCCCAGGTCCCTGGACAGTCTGCCCAGACATTCTGGAGACAGCAGGCCTCACCTCAGGTCAGCAGGGCTTGAGGCAGGGCCCAGACACTGGAGGTGGAGAGGGGGGTTCAGCCACACCTTGTCCGCCCCTCACCCTGGCTGGACACCCGACCCGAGGAGGCTTCTGCTCTGCCCAGCCTCCTTGTTTGTGAAGCCCTGGCCACTGTCTGGTCAGAGGGTCACCTCTCCTCTGAGCCACCCAAGTGTGTGGTCTGCCTTTCTAGACTGGCCAACCCATTCGGCGAGCCGGCGTCAGGGATGGCACTGTGTGGACAGCCCCCCAGCCCCCCAGGGGACGGAAGAGGGGCCATCTACGGCCTTACTGAGGTCCTGACTCCCTCTCATACCAGCCCTCGTTGGTATCAGCCATCATCCTTCCTGCTCTGCACAGGGGGAAACTGAGACTCACATGTTGAACAACTTGACCGAGGTCACAGAGCTGGGGTGGGATGAAGGCTGTACTGCCTGCCAGTGTGTCCCCCAAAGTTGTAAAAGCGTATTGCAGGCTGGGGCTGCATTTTCCTCCTCTCTCTGGATCCCCCTCGAACTACCTGTGGAGAACAGCTTCTTGATTCTATCAAAGCCATTGCTTCTGCCTTCTGCCTGCACCTGCTCCCTTCCCTTCCAGCCCAGTGGCGATAGGAATCCCAGCCATACCCAAAGCAGGAGCTATCTGCTGCTCTGGCTGGTGACAGAATTTCTCATCGCCAGTGGGGCGTTTGGATGAGAGCAAGAGTGTTGATGGACACAGGAGGAGGGCCCGGGGGCCGCCACGCACAGGGCTTAGCTGTCAGACATCACTACTTGGGGGTGGGGGAACTGTGGATTCACTACCATATCCCCTCAAAGTTCAGAATACCGCCTGAGACAGAGTAGGTCCTCAACAAGTATGTCTGGAGTAAGGAAATGTTCCTTAAAGAAGTTTCCCCTTTTTCTGGCTTGAGTGCCCGGGACCTTGTACCTGAGTGGAGCTTGGTCCTCACCCACGGCCCCTGCCCACAGCCCCCGGGGTGCACTCTACCTGATTCGAAACTCCTCCACTTTCTCCAGCACCTGCAGCAGGTTGGCCTCCAGCTGTCCCCGCTCCTGGCTCACTCTGCGCAGTTCCTCCTGCAGCCGGCCCTCGTACGTCTCGTAGACGTGCCCGAGGTCAAAGGCGGCGGAGCCCTGGCCCTGCAGGAAGCTCCAGCGGGTCTCCAGCAGCTGGTTCCGCTGCTCCAGGGCCTGCACCTGGCAGAGCAGGAGGGCTTCGGTGAGAGGGCCAGGGGCAGGCCCCGAGGCCCCAGGCCAGCCCCTGCACCCCGACTGGGGCTCCCCTGGGAAGTGGCAGCTCATCTCAGCACCTCAGATGGCATCTCAGACTACTGATCGTTCACACGTCAGATGGTGAGATAAGGAGGGAATCGAGAGGTGGAGTCAGCGAGCGCAGGGTTCCGAGGGGAGGAGCAGGCCCAGCTGGATGAGGGAAGAGGGAGCGAGGGTATGAACGTGACAGGCTCTTTGTGACCACCTGCGGCTTGGGTGGGAGACCCCAGGGAACCCTGGTGTCAGAAGCCCATCTGCCACTCCACTTGACAAGCCTGGTCTCATCGTGCTTTGGAAACGTAGGGTAGGGCCTGGTTAGTACTTAAATGCTAATCCTCCCAGCAACTGTGGACTTGTAGCCTTGCCCAGCCTCAGTTTCCTCAGCTAGAAGTTGGGCATAAGATCACCTGCCCTGCCTACCGCCGTGGGCTGTTGGGAGAAAAGCCTGGGGTGTGCTTTAGAACAGAAATAATAGCAAACAAGTATGTGGCTCCTTCTGGGGAGCAGGGCTGTTCTAAGGTTTGCCATGTTTAACTCGTTAAATCCCCACAAGCACCCAGTGGGCTATTGTTACGAGCTGCACAGTACCGATGAGGAAACAAGGCACAGAGTGGTAATGAACTTGCCCAAGGTCACACATTAGCAAGTGGTAGAGCCAGGTGTGGACCCCAGTGAATTTGGGTTTAAAATCTTTTCATGACTGTAACCTAGGCCTCCTGTCTGCTGCTGGGGTCACTGTGGGCCCTGGGACCTACCTGCCCTTCTTCATTGGCTTCTGCCTCTAGTTAGGCCAGTTTTGCCTTGAGGCGGCTCCTCTCACACCCTGCCTCCTTCATGCTCTCCTGCTTCGAAAGCTGCGTGGGCTCCCATGGTCCTCAGCTCACCTCCAGCCACCAGCAGGCTGTCAGCGTCCCTCCTGAGTCCCTTCTTCCCTCCGCCCAGTCCAGCCAGCCTGGGGCTCCCCCTGCCTCTTCCCCTCCCTGCCCCCCGTCCTCTCCAGCCAGACCTCGCTTGGGTACTACCCTTTCCACCGTCCTAGTCCCTCCCCAGATGTGCCCCCAGGTCCCCTCCTGCAAAAAGCCTCCCCTGTTCCCTGCAGTATGAGGCCCTCAGCTGATCTGCTCCTCACTTGTCCGGACCTACCACCCTCCCTGTTAGACTGACAGCCGTCTGCTCCCTTCTTGGGCTCCCTACGCCTCGGTTCCCAGGACAGGGACAGGCCACTGATGCAGGAAGGATGGTTGGGGCTTGGCTTCTGGACAGCGTGGGTGGTCGTCACGAGGGCGTTGTGATGACCAGCCAGTGATGTCCCGATGGCCATAGGCGAGTGTTGGCAGCAGCCCCCAGAATTGTAATTTGAGAACCACAATCACAGCCAGGAGCCTTTTGGATCAGCTGGTGTGTACTCTTCATTTACAGAGGAGGAGATGGGGGCCCAGGGCAGTCAAGTGACTTGTCCAGTGTCACACAGCAACTTGGTGGCCAAGTGTTCCAGACAAGCCCATCCGACGGTGGCTGCCTACTCTGGACCTTCAGGGTTCCCTGTTCCTCCTGAATTTTGTGCCAGGTGGGCCCTCCTTCCTCTTTCTCTGTCCTGCCCACACCCCCATGTTTCCCTGAGACATTCTGATGCCCTTGGGAAGCCCCCCTGGCATTCCCAGTGCCAGAGCCAGCAGGAGTATTGCCTGATGGCCTTTGTGGGCTGTCATTCCCCTGCTCACTCCCATTGTACCGGTAAGTTCTGCTTGAAGCTGACCTAAGCTTATAGTCTGCTGTAGTCGCAGCCAAACAGGTTTAGTAGGGATGGAAGTCAAGAGGGTTTCTGTCTCACGCGTGTGTACGAGAGAGTTTGTTGGGGGGAGGCATCTCCTTGCCCCACCTTTGCTCCGTTTTGACAAGCAGAAGCCCGTGTTTACACTGAGGGTGGGGTGAGAGCGGAGATGTGAGGCTCCTTTCTCCACCCATAAGCAGCACAAAAATCCTTTACACCAGGAAGTCTTTCCTATGGTCTAACCTCAGCCCCCTATGCTGCAGCACAAAAACCCTTTACCCTAGGAAGTCTTTCCTATAGTCTAACCTCAGCCCCCTGTGCTGCAGCACTAGTCTGCTGGGAGATGGAGCGCATTTGGCCGCCAGTCCTGCCAGAGGGAATTTTGGTTGTGGGGGACCTGGGGCAGCCCCCTCCCCTGCTGCCCTTGGAGGAGCTTCCTGTTGTCTCAGCAGCTGGGGATGGAACTGAACTTCCACCCAAGACCTTCCCTGCAGAGAAGCTCCTCCCTCTCAGAACAAAGGCTCAAGGAGGTGCCAGGTTAATGTCACCATCTTCCCAGGGCTGCTAAGCAGTCACCTCTCATTCACCTCCTTCCCCATTCCGACTGACCCCCCTGCTCTTAGATCACACAGTGGCAGTTCTAGGAGGGGCTCAGGGAGCAAACACCTTGTCTACATGCCTTCCACTGTGCAGATGAGGAAACTGAGGCTCAGAAGCACAGAACTCACTGTGACTCAACTCCATGGTACTGGGCGGCCTAGACCAGGGTGGGAGAGAGATGTTTTTTGTAGGGAACTGAGCAGCCCAGGTCCCCAACCCGTGGGCCCTGACTACAGTCAGGTGAGCATACAGGGTGGTGTCCCTGGACATGCAGGTCCTATTCCTCAGGCAAGGGGGCCTTTTCAGATCCCCGGCCTTCAGTCGGAGGTTGGCTTTGCCCAGGGAGCCTCAGGGTCCTTGGCCAGGAAGGGCTGGTTTGTGTCTTCCTGCGTGCAGGCAGGCGGTGGCTCCAGTGACTTCCGGAGGTCACAGAGGCCTGGAGGAAGACGTGCCCATCCATCTGTCTCCAGGCATCTCACCACCCCTCTTGGGTTCCTTCCAGACAGCCCGCTTAGACTGAGGGCTGGCAGTCTGTCTCATCATCCCCTCTCTCATGTGCATGCAAAGGTGAGAGAACCCAGCTGCCTCTGCGGGATGGGACGGGACCTTGCCTCTCCCTGCCTCCCTCCATGTCCTCTCCTGCTTCTGCTCATCCCCCTCCTCTGTACCAGTCTTTCCACTGGCATGAGCTCAGGCCACCCTCAGAGCAGGAGGTAAATGAGCTACAGAGAGGTAAGTGGTTTGCCCCAGGAAACACAGCCTGCGCGTGGGAGAACCAACACTGCTCCAGAGCCTCTTGCCACCTCCTGGCGGTCTTTGCCAATAACCCTGCTCCTCCACCTCGGTGCTCTGATTTCTCTCCACGCCTCAGAGACAGAAAGGGTTGTGAAGCTGCAGGGCCCCTGCCTTTCCCTTCTCTGCCTAGAGCCCCACCCCTGCGCTGGTTAAGGCATCTCATCCCCGTGCCCACACATCTCTATGCTGCACCCCTACCCATGAAGTCCCTCCATCCCTCCCACCAGCAGGGCCTCTCCCTCCCTCTTTTCGGGCTCCTGCCTGGAAAGGGCTAACTGGGTTCAAGAGCATCAAGGGCCGGACCCATTTATGTTGTTTTTAATTTAATAAACAGAACGTACCTGGTAGATGGAAAGTGCTTTATAAGTGAGTTTCAAAAATTATCTTACTTGAGTATGACAAGCCCGTTACACTGATGTGTACTGAGGCACAGAGAGGTTCGATACTTTGCCTGACATTACACAGCTGGTCAGAGGTGGAGCCAGGATTCAAACGCAGGAATTTGGCTCCAGATTGCATACTCTTAACTGCTAAGTACTTCCACCTGGGCCCTCGTGGCCTTTACAAGGAGACGGAGAGGGACTTGAGCTAACAGATCTTCGCAGAGGTGGTGAGCCAGCTGAGACTCCTCGGGCAGAGCCCCGGCAGTCAGGGCCCCCAAAGGGCTGGCACCCAAGGTTCACTGCATTTGCCCCAAAGAGCACCCATCTCAAGGCCCAAGCTTGAGGGTTGGGAGGCTCCAGTTCTGCTAAAGACCTCAGAGGGCATTGCCCTGGCCCCTGGGCACAGGACCTCGACCCCTCAGACCCCTCCCTGTGCCTACTCACCCTCCTGTCCCCATGGTAGAGGCACAGGGTAATATCAGCTCTGGCATTCAGGGAAAAAGCCACCCAACTGAGCCAAATTACATAGCTCATGAAGCATTCCTTTTAAGGGATTAACCTGGGTTTGGAGAGGAGGTGGCTCTGCAGAGACCTGCCTCCCCAGGGCATCGGCTGTTTTCCTGGGGCCAACAGCCCAGCCCTTCAGGGTTCTGCAGCCAGCCAGGGCTGGGGAAGGGGATGCTCCACCCCCAACCCAGGCACTCCGCTCCGGGTGTGGGTGCAGGAATGCTGCTCTGGGCACATGGTGGGAGGAAGAAATGGTTCCCATCTCAGAGACTACTGGCTTTGTGTCTCACAGATCTGAGTTCAAATCCAGCCTACAGACTTGCTGGTTGAGTGACCTTGGGCAGGGCACTTATTCTCTGGATGGGCAATTTTCTCATGTGCACAGCAGGGGAACTAGCCCCGGGGGTGTCACTGTGTGTGCTAGATGACACACTTGTGCAGGGTTCCCACAGAGAGCCCGGCACCAGTGGACACTCTACACATTTCCTTTCTTTCCTCTGCCCTGCTCTGGGAGTGCCCACCTCCTGGGGACACTGTTGACATGCAGAGAAACGAAGCAGGGGGAGCAAGGTGCAGGGGAAACCGAGTCAGGGCAGAGAGGTGGGGCTCTGGTCTGCTGGCGCAGGAGCAAGAAGGCTGAGTTTTCCTCATCAGTAAAATGGGCATAATACGACTTCTTTCCTAAGGTTGTTGAAGGAAATAGAGATAAATATGGAAGTACCCAGCCCACTGCCTGGCACATAATAAGCAATTAAGTAACTGCAGCTCTTACTATTGTGACTACCATTCCTGGGCAGGGCAGGAGGGAGCAGAGCCAGGGGCTGGTCAGGAGCGGTTTCTTTCAGGAGGTGAGTGAGGAGCAGTTTGAGTGGACAGGCCTTCCTCGAAGCTCCGGAAGCCCTTGCCCTGGAGCATGCTGGCCGTGGCTTTGAGGTCTAGGACGTCAGGATTCTGCAGACTCACTCCCTCTACCCAGGTGGGTGCCTGGCTGGCTGCCAGGCTCTGACTCCCAGCATCCATCCTCTGCATTCCTATCTCTTGACTCCACCGCTGCACCCCACTCTGCAGCCTCCTTCCTTCCGGGAGCCCCGTAAGCCCCCTAGGCTCTGCCGGTGCTCCTGACTCCCGGAAGCTAAACGGAGCCAGAGGCCTGGACAGGAGGGTGGGCCCTGGGGAGATCATCTCCATTGTCCATCTGCTTCGGGGTAGGACTGCAGACCATGCCTACATCAGCTATTCCTACGAGGGAGCATGCTCTTGGCCACACTCAGAGCTCCTCCCTAGTCCACATCTGGAGGCTGACGTCAGGCCACACAGCACATTATTATCCAGACACCCCTCAGAGGTCATCCTGGGGTCTCCTTCTCCCCCCAGCCAGAATGGCTCAGGGACTTCCCTCCGCATCTCTCTGCTCGGAGCTAGCACGCGGAGTTCGCAATGCCGGCTCCCCATTGGCTGCGGGCAGGGGTGGGGCATGATGCTCCAGAAATAAGGAACTCAGCCACCTGCCAGTCCTTAGCTTTCCTGACCCTCTTCCCACTTTTGCTTACCTTGCCAATCAGGGAGGCGAATTTATCATTGAGCACCTTCATCTCCTCCTTTTCCTGGTTCTTCTGCTGCTGGATGGCTGGGTCCACCTTGAGGTCCAGAGGCACCAGCAGGCTGGGGTTCACCGTCACCTTGGGGATGGTGCCAAATGACCGGCAGCCCGTGAGGCTGCGAGAGCTGAAGCCCGGCCTGGGGACTCCGCAGCTGCTCCATTCCGAGGTCTCAGGCCGGGGGCCGCCCGCTGGAGTCACTTCACAGCTGCTAAGGCTGCTGAAGCCAACAACGCAAGAGCGGCAGGCCATCACGGCCCCCGGGCCTGGAGTGCGGAGGGTGCCGGGATGAGCGAGGGAAACTTTGTGGGGTGGCGTTGGCAGCTGGCTCCAGTCTCAAGCAGGGCAGGCTGGGGACTGAGAGGCAAACACCTGTCGCACAGTGCTCATTAGCTGCATGAGGGCGGGACACTTCCCAGCCCGACCAACCTGTTAGATGATGTGGTGCTCTGGCCCCTCCCCCACACCACTCCTCCAGACCCAGGGATCTGCCTCGCTGAGGGGGCTGTTCACCGGCCCCCAACCCAGCAGGGCCTGGCTCCAGGGAGGGGGGCAAGTCTGGGCTGGCTGGGTGGGGGTGGGGAGGCTGCGGGGAGGAAGGGGCGATTCAGCAAGGAAGGAGAGGAGAGAGAGTGTGCGTGTGCCTCTCACCACTGACCTCCCTGCATACCTGAGGGCTGACGTAGCCGGGCCCACATACTTCTGGAAAAGATGAGGCAAGCGCAGGCTCTGGGCTGAGTGCAGGGCATCTCCCTGGGCTGAGTGCAGGGCTGCCATCCCGGGCACTGTGCCAGGCTAGCGTTGGAAAACAACCCCTTTATTGTTTATTTTCCAGCTGCCCAAGACTCTCCCTGGCTTATCTTTTCTTTCTTTCTTCCTCCCTCTCTCCCTCCTTCCTTCCTTTGATCTACTACGTATTAAGCACCTACTATGTGCATCCCACGGTCTCAGAGGCTGGAGAGGAAATAGATGGTCAAGGCCAAGAGCCTTGGCTTCAGACAAGTGAGATGTGGGTTTAAGATTCAGCTTGGCAGCTCATCCCTGGTGTGACCTTGGTAAGTTACTTGATTTCTGTCCTCATGTGTAAAATGCGGATGAATCCGCCAGCCCCACAGGAGGTGGTGTGTGCAGGGGGCTTAGTGGAGGCTGGTGTAAAGCCCTCGGTAAATGGCTGAGACCAGTGCCTGCCTTCTGGGAGCTGAGTCTGGGGGGGCCATGAGAATGTGTTCTGCCTACCCCCTTCTCATCCCTCCTTTCTCACTTCTCCATATTCTCCCCCTGTTTCATTTTAAATATGAAGAAAAATAGAAAGGCAGCAATTTGCTCCCACAGGGCCTCTGACGGGGCAGGAGAAGGCTCGGCCCACCCAGGACACTCCCTCCGCCTTCCTGAAGTTCCAGAAGCTGCACTCTTCCCCGTCCAGGGAGCAGCCATCCCCGGGGTTGCCTCTTCCTTCCTCCCTGGCCTGGTGTCCCTGGATGCTCTCACCCTGCCCGGACCTGGCATACCACCTGGGTGGTGGGGTCACAGCAGAGAGAGGAGTGTGTCTAAGAGAGAGTTAGGGGTCAGGGAGAGAAGAGATCTCAGCCCCCTGGTACTGGAGGAAGAAACAGGCTGGAGATGGAAGCCACCGCTGGGGTCGCATTGCTCGTGCCAGGCCTCCTGCCTCCCTGGCCAGCCCTCTGTCCACACCGTGGGCATTTCCGGCTCACTGAGGCACAGGAATCGGTACCAAGATCATGGGTCTATCCTGAAGCTGGATCCCAGGCTCTGACGCTGGGGGTGGGCTGGTGAGGTGCTTTTGGGTGACAGGGTCACTGTAGGAGTGTCTGTTTCCACTACTGACACCTGTTGCCACATTCAGCACAGACTTCGTGGCCCACCCCAGTGTCCCTGACCTGGTATCTGAATGGCATGTGGTCAAACTCAGCACCCTGCCCTCCCTCACCCCAGCTGCCCCTGTACACTGTGGGGCAGGCAAAGGCATTTGGGCCCTTCCAGGGACAGCTGGCAGGTCAGGTGTGTCCCAGTGCTTTACATGGACTAGCTCCCTTAATCCTCATGGCAACCCTATTGGAGGTAGGTGCTTTATTTCTCAGCCTGATTTACAGAGGTGGAAACCGAGTCTCAGAGGGGTTCAGTGACTGTCTAAGGTCTGGATTTGAATCCAGACAGTGGGAGCTAGGAGCCCTTCCTCTTTTCCAGCCTCTGAGCCTGGTGACCCTGGAAAAGGCAGCGGATAAAAAAGGAAGCTTTCTCCTTACTGTCTGAGGAGATATATATATAAAACTATTTTTTCTTTATTGATTTTAGAGAGAGAGGAAGGAAGAGGGAGAGAGAGAGAAAAACATCGATGAGAGAGAACATCGATTGGCTACCTCCCACATGACCCCCATTGGGGATCGGGCCTACAACCTGGGCACGTGCTCCAACTGGGAATCAAACCGGTGACCTCTTGGTGCATGGGTCAATGCTCAATGACTGAGCCACACCAGCCAGGCTGAGGATATTTTTTATTGATTTTTAGAGAGAGAGGAAGGGAGAGAGAGAGAAACATGGATCGGTTGCCTCCTGTATGTGCCTTGACAGGGGATTGAGCCCACAACCTATGTATGTGCTGGGACTGGGAATTGAACCTGCAACCTTTTGGTGTATGGGATGATGCTCCAACCATCTAAGCTGCCCGACCAGGGCGCTTCTACTTTTCTTCAAATTGTAGGCCCAGTTCTTCAGAGTGTCTCTGCCAGCCCCCGAGTTCAGATGGGTCACAGTTAATTGCTGAGTTCCTGGCTTCGAGGCTGGCATTGCAGGGCCATCCCTGGGGCCTGAGCACTGGCAGCCTTCCTAGGGGTGGCCTGGCCTCTTGGAGGCATGAAAGGCATGCTCCCTGGGGCTCTGGCCCAGGGCTGGGAGGCGGTCCCGCCTGCTGCTTCCTCTCTGGCCCCAGAGCCTGTCTTGAGAGCAGTCAGAGAGGTGTCTCTGGGTCTCACAGCTGTGGCTTGCAAAACAGGGAGAGCAGTTAAAAGGCCCCAAGCAAACAGCTCCATGGAAGCACCTAGCCCCACCCCTTCCTCCCCATCCCTCCCCTAGCTCGCCCCATGCCCCCCCCACCCCTGCGCTGGCATTCTGGGCTCCACTGTCCAGGCCTCTCCCAGCCTATCTACCCTCGTGGAAGACCTGATACCACCCTCTCCTAACCTTGATATAGAGCCCAGACCACCTAGCTAGGGGTTCAGGGAGCGGGAAGCCTGGGAGGGGTCGGGGAGAGAAGTCAGAGAGTGGGTAACATTTTTAGTCTCTTTGGGGATGTTGAGGTACCTGGGCAGTCTCCAAACTCCTCCTGAGTGTACTCATCAACAAATCTGAGCCTCTGGCAGGGTGTGAGCTTGGGGACCCCAGGGCAGACCAGCATCCTGTACCCTCTGGGGCTCTGGAGGCCTGTCCTGGTTGGTCCTTACGTAGTCCAGGGACAGAAACCTCAGTCCCCTCTCTCCACCTTGAGTCTCCCCACTTTGCCTCTGGTCCCCTGTAACGGGTGACAGGATAGGATCCTGCTCTTTCCAGAGGCAGAGAAAAGGCAGAGGAGGAGCAGCGCCGGCCGGAGGTGAGGGACGGGAGAGGCTTGGGCTGGGCTGCCCAGGGCCTCGGGAAGTTGGTCCTCAGAGGAGCAGGGGGTTTCTCAGCTGCTCGCTCCCTCCTGCCTTCCACTTCCCTCTTCACACCACTCTGCCCCAGCCTCCGGTCTACCTCCCTCTCACTCCTGTCCACCTCTTCTCTCTTGCCTCCGGCTGCCTGCCTGTCTCAGCCCTGCGTCTGGTGGGATGGCCTTGTGGGAATGGCATCCCTGTCACAGTTTCAGCGCCTCCTCTGCACTTCGTGCCCTTTGGCCTGGGCCCTGCGGAGCCGGCAGGCCTGGGAGAAGGCAGGAGAGCAACGCATAGCTGTGGGATGAGTGTTTCAGTGAGCACATCGCAGCCTCACTGGGGCTCAGGGGCGGGACACGCACCAGGACAGACCGGCAGGGACTCTGGGCAGGGGCATCCTAGCCGCACTCCAGGGCATGATGGCAGGGCCAGGCCACTCCTTCAGGACGCCTTCCCAGATGAGCCTGCTCAGGTTCCTGTCCATCCCCCTCCCCGCTCCCAAACACACCTCCACCTCTGCTCACTGGGTCAGGGTCCTCGCCCTGGTGAGGCTGGGAACCTGGCCTCCTTTCTCTGGACTGTCCCTCTCAGGCCTGTCCTGCGGCTGCGGGGGGTGGCCCTGCCCAGCGGCTACGTTCTGGCAATGGGATGGCCCAGGCCCTGGGCTGAGGGTCTTTGGACAACCTGTGGCTGTGTTGAAAAAATGCCAGAGGGCCCTAGTGCTGGGGCAAGGGGGGCTGAAAGTAGATTTGGGGTGGGCGAGGACAAAGAAATTAGAACTGCTCATTAAGCCCCCTCTACATGCCAGGCCGGCGGCGGAGACGCGGGAGTGGCACTGACCCCCTGAGGCTGTCTGCGATGCCTTCCCAGTGGGGCCAGTGGGCAAAGGCTCGAAGGAAGAGGAAGCACTGACCAGAAGTGTTTCAGGCTAAGACAGCAGGAAGAGCTGTGGGGGAGGCACCTTTGTAGGGGATGGTGACCGTGACGGCGGCCAGAGGTGCCATAGAGCTCAGTGGAGCAGTGACCTCGGGGTCCCAGGGAGGACACAATCAAAGCACTTCATTATTTTCCATAATGTCCTTCAGTGTCTCCCTGTGGACTGTAAGATAAGGCGTAGATTTCTGGGAACATCAAACAAGATGGTTTGTACCTGCCGTCCTTCCTGTTTGGGTCTCGGCTCCTCTATACTCACCTTCTCTCCACATCTGGGTCAGCTTCCACCCCCACCAAACTGGCCCCATTTCCCCAAACCCACTGATGATGCCCGTGTCCGCGTTGGGCAGTGCAGACCGGGAACATGTCCATCATCGCGCAGTTCCCCTGGACAGCGCTGACCGGCAAGGACGCACCTGCGGCGGCCCGGAGCTGAGCAGTGCTTCAGGATAGGCTGGGGCAGCCTGGGGTCAGCAGAGCGCTGCACCTGGAGACCAGTCATGATGGTCTGGGCTCGCCACTCACCAGCTGTGTGGTGTGGGGCCAAACGCTTGGCCACTCTGGGCCTCAGTGGTTTGTAAAATTAGGTTGTACAGCCACCTGAATAATTGCTGGGGTTTTTCACAATTTAAATTTTGTTTTCCAGCTTAGCTCATCAGTGTTTCTCAAACTGCTGTCAACCCCTCACTGTGCCAGGTGACCCAACTTCCTCGGCCAGCAGCACACTGGGGAGGTTGGGCAGGCGTGGACATTCCATAATGAGGGCAGGCTCT